GATTATAAAAGTTAACTTATTACCTTTAAAATGGAATAGCAAAGAATCAAATATATATATATATATATATATTTGAGAAGAACTCTAGTTGTAGGATTAAAATAAGTATAAATTAATAAATGAAATGGGTATTTGTAAATAAACTCGTTACCAGAATGAACAACAATCTCGGTTTCTCCTGTGGATGGATTCAGCCGGCAAGTTTCCCCTGCATCAATGTCCACGAAATAAAGGCGTTGGCTTCTGTTGTCCCAGTGGGGTCCTTCGCCCAAAACAAAACGTTTTTTAGATACTCTAGAAACACTCATGGTTCAATGGATATCCTGATGATATTGTGAGGAACATTCTATGAAGGAGACTCTCAGGTTTCTCCGTGATGATTATCTGATAAGAAATAGATAAGGATGCACTCGACACAATTAAAATAGTTCTTTAAATAAACACTTTCGAAGAAATTAAAAAAAATGATTTAATATGCCTCGTGTAAGTCACAATTTATTCTATAACAAAGTAAAATTACAAGAAGAAGAATATTATTCATATTTTTTTTCTGAAACTAGCACCTTTCTTGAAAGAAAACAATTTCAAACTGATTTACCAAAAGCATACTATAACAAAAATTTGGTGTATATAGTTGCTACCATTTTAGGTGTTGAGGTAAACTTAAAACATTTTTAAGTACAAAACTGTGATATTATCGTGAAAAAAAAATAACAAAATTAAGAAAATAACAACTGTTTGAAATAATTATGGAGAATATATTGGTAAAATATATTCTCTCTTATTATTGTATATATATCGAATATATTGTTTTTTAAAATGAAATGTTTTCGCAATAAAGCTATAAAATGATTCGAATGCGCATAAAAATATATGTTGTCAGTAAATAAACAAATAAAAGATGAATAAATAAGCTTATAACAGTGAAAAAGCAAATAAAAAATGTGACGAAACGCACTGTAAAAAATTTTAACTAACCTCACCACTGAAAATGGTGGTAACTATGCATCAACTTTTTTACTGTGTTGTAGTATTTGCAGTGTAGAGATAAAAAATCATAAATATATATGAAGAATTTCGATTGTCCGATTTAATTGGAACCTTACTTATTTCGAATAATCAAAATATTCGGCTTATGGAGGTAACATTGTTTTTTCAAAAACTAATTCTTGAAGAATCAAAGTTTTTATATTAATAATTATATATGTATAGCATATTAAAATAATTTCCAATAAAATTTCCGAAAAATTTCTTTAAAATAGATGTAAATATATTTTAAAATTTACTTCCAAATAATTATCCCTGATGAACCATGATGACTTAGTGGTTAAGGCACTGTCCTGTCACTGTAAAGAACTGAGGTTCGATCCCCAGTGGCGACTTCAAGCCCAGTCAGCTTCAGATCGATGGGTACCAGTTGTCTGGGAAGTAAAGGTGCGCAGTGCTGACCACATTGCCACAATCATGCCGTTGGTCGCAAAATTGTGGAACCTTAACCCCAATGGCCCACAATGGTCTGAAGCAGGACTGCTTTACTTTTATTGTCCCAGTAGTCCTGACATCGGTTTTAAATGAACCCTTCAAATTTTGTTATATTTGAAAGCTGATATTCATAATTTATATTTCCTTATAAGCTTTGTATGTCTATGTCCTAACTTCCCTCGTTATTTTTTTCACACATAACATAACATGCGTCCTTTTAGGGGAAAAAGAAGTCATGAAGTCTTCTATAAAGTCATGATATGTTTGGCGTTTGAGCCAAGTTTTGACTATAAGGAGTCGAAAACTAGGTTGAAATCAAAGTCACTTTGCTTAAAGTCTAAAAAACTGAGAAACTTAAAACAATTATGATAAAAACTGAAGTGCCAAATCAGTAAGCTTAAAATTATTACATAAAGATGAAGAGTTCTAAATAATTGATAAAAGCTAATCAACGGTAAATTCAAATCTCGGTGAGAAGTCCCATGTCTTAAATGGGAGATAATATAAAGTATAATATATGGGTGGGAAGGGTCTCCAAACAAAACAGACGGATCGGGTATCAGTATTTAAATAACGTCAACTGCTTGAGTTATATATATTTATGGCACTGACCCATAGTTTACTTCACATTTATCGAATTATTTAAGTTGCACATCATGACACTTGTTCGTTATATAAAAGTAGTAGATGTAATAAATTGAGAATTAGTGGTGCGAGAGCCATTTGTGGCTATAGCGCACCTAAAACTCTAGTTTATTAAAAGTATTCTGTTAAGAATTGAAGTTAAAACAATTTGAAAAATTCAACGTCCTTGAGATAATGGAAAATGTTATTGTGAGGTTTGTTCCCAATTAATAAAGTTAATAGTTGATTAAAGTTACCAAAATGGTGTTGTCTCTGAGATTTAAATTTATAACATTTATTTAAAATATGTTTAATAGTGAGAAGTTCCTTGAACGTCTGTTCATTTAATAAGAGATATTTAGGGGTTAGACGACAGTGACCAATTCGAAAGTGATTTAATATTACTTCTTGCTTTCCATCTACATTTAAATTTTAGAACCCCGGTGGCTCAGAAAATAGAGCTTTCGCCTTCCAATGAATCGGGTGAGGTGAACCGGGTTCGAAACCCAGTGATGGCTTGTCGGTGCAAATTCCACGCCCGGCTTGCACCGACCACAGTGCTGACGTAAAATATCCTCAGGGGTAGACGGATTATGGGCTACAGTTCCCTTGCCATTAGGCTGAGCGTGGGAGGTTTTAGTGGTTTTCCTCTCCATGTAACACAAATGCGTGCTAGTTCCCCCAAAAAGTCGTCCACGAAGGTAAATGTGTCTCAATACTTGATCCATGAGTTCCCTTGTCTTCTGGATTGGGCTCAAAATTACAAAGTTACGGAGTTGAACATTAGTAGTCGTAAACCCAAAATTGGGCAAGCTGTTCAACGAGGTTATAAAATATTTAAATTTTTGTAAGGTTCTGTGAATGGTTTGACCTCATGCAATTTATTATTTATGTCATTTTCCGATCACTTTGCCAGTGTGAATGCAGTTTATTGCCAATCACATTTTTGATATCGGAATCGGCAAGACGATTGTTCGATATATTGTTTGTTGACAATATCAGTGGTTTCATTTCCCCAAGATTCCAGCATGACCTGAATAAAAAAATTAAAACAAAACCTTTTTTTAAAAGTAACAATATGCTGTTATTAATATTTTTTGCTTACGTATGCAAGGTAATCTGTAAAATTTCAAAATGAATAATATATTGATTATCTAGAATAGTTCAGTTGTTTTTCGCTGCAACCCTTCTTTTGCCATTACTACTCGAAAATCTTCGTTTAGAACAATAATCAAAATACAAAATATTATATTTCTCAAGAGAGAACGGTATCTCACCCATTGTGGTGGTCCTGAAAAAGTGGATACCTCCTATGGAGAACGCACTAGGTCTGCTTATCGGCAAGACCGATTGTGCAGCTCAGTGGAAATAAAATTTAAAAAAATATTTCTCAAGAGATACCCAATGATTTGAAATATGTTATTCATAATTCTTCAGAACATAAAAATAATTGCGTTTGACTCTTATCTTATATTAAACCTTAAAAGCAAATCTCGAAATAATTACGCGAAATTACATTACAATGTTCTGAAAATAAGCTATGATCTCAATCTTTTCTACTGGATTACACATTAACTCCTGGTAAATAATTTGTTCAAAAACACTTAAGCATAATATCTTTTTTTTTAAATCTTTCCATCCTAACGAAACAAACATTTAACCACTTGTCTTCCAATTTTTCATCTATTATTTTCCTATACAGCGACAAAATTGAAACAAAAACTTTTTAAAAGTAACAAGATACTGTAATTAATATTTTTTAACTTATTTAAGATTACTTACAAAATTTTGAAAAGAATAGTATTTTGTTTCCTAGAATAGTTCAGTTGCTTTTCGATGAAACCGTTTTTTTTTTTTACTATTACTACTGAGAAAAAAAATTTCGAACAACAATCAACCTACAAAATATTATATTTCTCAATGATACGAAATATTTTATTCATAATTCTTCAGAACAGGAAATTAACTGCGGTATACTTATCTTATAGTATTAATTACCAAAAGCAAGTCTCGTAACAATTACGCGAAATTATATTACAATGTTCTATAAAAAGTAACTGCAGAGCTGTGATTTCAGTCTTTTCTACTAGATCACGCGTTACTCCTGCTAAATAATTTAACTCCTTAGTGTAATTCTCTTTCTAAATTCTTCCATCCTAACGAAACAAATCTCAAATAAGCATTTAATTGCATGTCTTCCTTTTCTTTCTAATATTTCTTTTTCAATTTTTCACCAATCATTTTCCTATACCAGAGCAAAATTAATTTTAAAAAACTATTTTAAAAAGAACGATATACTGTTATTAACATTTTTAAACTGAATTTCGATTTTTAGAATGGTTCAAGTGTTTTTCAATTCCGCGCTCCTTTTAATATTGGCATTCAGATATTTAAAAAAAAAATTGTTTTGAAGCAACAATCAACTTACAAAATATTGTATTTCTCAAAGGATACCTAAACAATTTGAAATATGTTATTCATATTTCCTCAGAACGTGAAAGTAATTGTGTTATACTTATCTTATACTAATCCTCAAAAGCAAATCTCGAAACAATTACGCGAAATTATATTACAATGTTCTGCAAAAAAATAACTACAGAGCTGTGATTTCAATCTTTTCTAGTAGATTACGTGTTACTCCTGCTGAATAATTTGTTCATTAACACTTACGCTTAATTCTCTCGCTAAAAATCTTTCCATCCTAACGAAACAAAGCTTAATAAATTTTTAACCTCAGCTGAAACTGAATACATCTATTTTTTTCTCCCTCTACACAACTGTTTCTTACGCTACGGTTACAGCAAATTCGAAAGGGGTTAAAAAGCAAAGAAAGCTAACTCATTAGTGACAAGATTAGAGATTACACATCCGTACAAGAGATTAGCCTGCGTTGCCAATTCCCAGGAGTCAATTTACAATTTAAAGTATGTTATCTTATTTAGAGAAGCCTAACGTGTCTGCTCTTCTTTATCTCTTCTTTTCTACTTAAAGAAGAGCTTTTCTTCTTTCTTTTCTTAAAGATAGCTCCAAGAGGAAGTTCGGATAATTTATTACTAAAAACTTTCTTTTTGGTTTTGAGATGGAAAGTACGACGCTGTGTGAATTTTTTTCTATTGACTTCTAATTTTTAAGCAAAAGATTAAAGAGCTACAAAAGAGTATAGTTTGAAAGCAAAGAAGACTGTATTTATCTCGAGATTTTTAATGACAATAAATGATTATATTTATTGCTTAAAACTCATTTCTTACAAAATATTAATAAGATAAATAAGTTTTTGT